GCGTGCCCGGGCTGTCCCGCTGTGGGCGTGCTCCGCGGCTTTGCTCTGCGTCTCCCTGGTCTGCTGGGGGGGAGCTCCCCCCCCAGCAGACCAGGGAGACGTGGAGCAGATTTTCTCGCCCCGGAGGACGGGGGCGGCGGGACTGCAGCGCATCTGGGCGTCCTGCCGCTCCAGTCCTCTGGGGTGAGAAAAGCCCCGTTCATAACTGCGGATCCGACATAAGTCGGATCCGCGTAACTCGGGGACTGCCTGTACTAGTGAATACGAACCACAGTGTAACATGTGGAGCAGGTGGTGTTCCAAAAATTTTTAAATGTTTGTTGTGTTTGCCATTTTTCAGGTCAAGTCATTTCAATTAGGCTTCTGTGCCATGTCTTATTCATTCTCACTCATGTTAATATTGGATATCTATTGCTTCCTTTTAGATATGAACTCCCCCTCCTCCGCCCCTGACACACACACAAACACTCAATCCTGAAGGAATCCAATGCCATATTTTTGAAAGGAAAACCACAAACAATATTGAGGCATTGCACAATATGGCTAATTCCACACACATATTGAATAATATATCATATTTTGTATTCATGCTCCCTTCATTGTGAACAAAAAGCTGTCAAACTGGACCTGTGTCCAGGACCTAGGAGACATTAGATAAAATGGTTTGCTTGAAATCTCTACAGCAACATATTGAAGCTTTAAAAAAAAAAGAGTCAGATAATCATTTTGCAAAGTTATGGGTTTGTATTACTCTGAACGTACACAGGACATATTTGTGGTATTGCTCTATTTTTTATATTATTAAATTTATTTAGGAAAAATTCGTGCAGTCCATGCAATTGACACATGGGGTTGCTAACTTTCACACACTGTAAATAAGTACCCAAATTTCACAATAAGCCAAAAATCAAGTTAATCCCATTTCAAAACAAAGTCCAAACAAGCCAATCCTAAAAGAATCCCAACACTCTATATGACTGCAACATGCAGACTGGGTTCTGGGACTTTGGTGGGCCTGCTGAGTAACCCTAAACTCTCCCCTCTCTTGCCCCTTGCCCCTGCTTGCCCCAATTGCCCTATTTGCCCTTCACTTTCTGGAAGCCAATAAAAAAAAGCAGCAACAAGCCAAAATAAAGTAACAAACAAGTCCAAAACTTGGTAACCCTCTCCATAACCGTGTTCAAGAAAATGGGAATCTTTCTGTGAATCAAAATAAGACAAGGATTGGCTCCACAGAGAATTACTATGCCAAATGAATGCTAGAAAGTTATGCTAGGGAACCAAAATCCGTCTGCTGAAGGAAATCCACATTTCCATAAATAATTGTGGGTGATAACAAAGTTACATAGGTCTGCTGTCAGATTGGCAGTGGTGTTCTCTGGGATAGTGTTTGTAATTGCTTGTAATCCATCTTCATGTGGGATGTTGGTGTATAGAGCTTCTACACCCATGGTAGCGAGGATGGTATTATCAGGGAGGTTATCGATGTTTTGTAGTTTTCTTAGGAAGTCAGTAGTATCTCGGAGATAGCTAGGAGTGTTGGTTGCGTGGGGTTTGAGAAAAGAGTTTACATAGCTGGATAAACCAGTAGTGACTGTGCCGATACCCGAGATGAGACGTCCGGGGTGTCCAGGTTTATGGATTTTGGGAAGCAGATAGAACAATCCTGGTTGGGGTTCAGAAGGTGTTTCTATGTGGATTTAGTCCCGAGAAGATGTAGGGAGGTCTTTAAGGAGACATTGCAGTTTCTTTTGGTATTCCAAGGTGGGATCAGAGGAGAGAGGTTTCTAAAATGTGATGTTGGAGAGATGTGCCCTGGGAGGCTCAGGTGATTCAAACCTGAGTCTCCCGAGGCATAGCTGTACAACAGGGCTAAAGCCAAAATAAGCTACACAACCAGAGTTATGTCAATTGTGTATCTTAAGTTAAAATAGCTTATTTCAGCTTTTGGTGCTGTCTACACAACTCAGGTGATTCAAACCTGAGTCTCTCGGGGCATATCTGTACAACAGGGCTAAAGCCAAAATAAGCTATACAACCAGAGTTATGTCAATTGTGTAGCTTAAGTCAAAATAGCTTATTTTGGCTTTTGGCACTGTTTACACAGCAGGAAGTCCAAGGGAGAGCCCTCCTCCCCCAACTTCCCCTAAAATGAGGGTTACAGGAGCCAGACTCTCCCGATCTGCCGACAAACAGCTGATCGGCAGATCGGGGCAGCCATTTAAATTTAAATGAAGCCGCGATTATTTTAATCGCGGCTTCATTTCCCTCTTCCGAGCTGGCTAATCTACATGCCTCCGTCGACGGAGGCATGGAGTCTGGACACAGCCTGAGAGAGATGAACAAGAACACACACATGTACTGCTTATCTTGAAAAACTTTTCCCTTGTCATCAAATTGTATCATATTTGAGAATAATTTCAGATCAACTGAAACTGTTTTTTTTCAGGAAATAAAATAGGTCTCCAAAAAGGCAAACAAATGAATTACTTACTAATCACCAGATTGGAAAGGGAAAAAAATTAATCAAATTCTCACATAAATGTTTGATCTCAGATCTATGAAAGACTCAGGATTTGGCCCATTACTATTAAATCAATATATAGTGCTATAAATACATTCAAGACTTTTCAAAATAGAGGATGCATGAGTAGCATTATTTAAACAGTAGAAGAAAGAACATACTCCAAAAACCAGGGTGGATAACAGATATAATAACAAATGACATTCAGTGTTGATTAGCACAAAGTAATGCACACTGGAAAATATAGTCCCCACTGTACATACAACATGGTGTCTAACTTAGTATGTCTTTCTTGAGGGGTAAAAGCTAAGAGTCTTCGTCGATTGTTCTCTGAAACATCCAAGGCAATGAGCATGGGTATTCAGAAAGGTTAACAGAATGTTAGGAACCATTAGGAAAGAAATAGATACCCTGAAAATATCACAGTGTCACTGTATATATCTATGGTTTGCCTACACACTGAATACACGCATGAAGTTCTGGTCAGCCCATCTCAACAAAAATACATTAGAATCGCAAGAAATACAGAGAATGGCGATAACAATTACTAGAGGCATGGAACAACTTTCATATGAGGAGACATTTAGAAAACATGGACTGTTCATCTTAGAAAAGAGTTGAATAAGGGGCAATATGGTAGAGATCTATAAAATAATGAATGATGTGGAGGAAATGAATAAGGAAGTGTTATTTACTCCTTCAGGTAACAAAAGAACCAGGAGTCATCCAATGAAATGAATAATGCATCAAATAGAAATCAAACAAAAGGAAAAACTTCTTCACATAATTCACAAGTGGGACTTGTTGCTAGGCAATGTTGTGAAGACCAGAAAAGATTCTGAAAAGAATTAGGTAAGTTCATGGAGGATAGGTCTCTCAATGGCTATTAGCTAAGATGCTTAGGGACACAACTCCATACTTGCCATATTCCGATAGAGAAACAAATGAAAGGCATTGTGTGCAATTGTATGACATAAAGAAATTTGATGCTAGTTATTTTATAAAAAATGTTATCACATGGGATAATTTAGGATTCAATCAAACACGTTGTCCCAAATTGACTGACAAAATGAAAGATCTGCTTAAATCTGTTTGAAAATGGTGTCCTCAGCTTCTTAAAATGAGAACAAATTATCTATTATATATTTGAGAGCATTTTTGTGAGTCACTGTCTGTCCATCTCTCTGTCTGTGAGTCCGTTTGCTCAAGAACTCCTATCTGGCAAGAGCTAGGAACACCACATATAGTATGCAGCTTCCTCCTAACATTACTTAAAGAAGGGTAAAGGGCTGGTTGTGCTAGGACAATTGGATGTGTCTGGAATGTGATTGTTTCTCATAAAACAGAAAGAGAGGAGTCTGCTAGCAGGCACAGTTATACTGTGTAATGACATCAGGGGTACTGTAAGCAGCCAGATGGGGACTGGGACAGCTAGCATCCCATTGGGGCAGCATGGGGCAGAGGTGGAGAAAAAGACAATTATGTACTATATATGAGAGAGAGTTTCTCTGGGTGTTTGTCTGTCCCCCAGCCATGGGACACATGCTCAGCTGTGCCTGGCCCTTTTATAGAGATGACTTGTACAAGGAGCCTATCCCTACTTCCCAGGCTGCTGCTGCCCTATCTTTCCTTCTCCATAAAAACCAGCCCTAATTATAGCAACTGAGGATATGTCCCATAATTTTGACTTGTCATAAATGTAGACATGGGATGTGTCAGTAAGTATTCAAAAGACAAGTGTAAAATATTAATAAAGATGGTGGATTTTGTTTCCCCTATTTAACATGATCTTCACCCATTTCACTATTGAAAAGTGTAGGTATAACTCCCAAAACACCCCTTGAGCAATAATCTGGAGATGTGTGAAAAGTACTCTTAAAATAATATAAGACTATCGCTCAATATAACAGTACAAGTTGATCACATATATTGTTTTGTTAATTACCACCTTGTATGAAGTTATTACCAGCCCTCAGACAGAATTAAATTATTTCAAAAAAATAATAATGAATGCATATGTTGCTGCAGTGACACATAATGAGAAAATTGGGGGTCAACATAAACAGAGAAACTAGCAGCAGTCATGTATTCGGAATGATGATTTTCAGTTAGAAAATACAGGCATTTTGTGTCTTTCCTCCTACACAGAAACACAGATTTCCCTCTTTTGGTATTCACACCTCCTCCTCAACTGCTGAGAGTCAGCCTCATCTACTCTGACTGAATTGGTCTTGTTAACACTGGTCCTACATTTGATAAGTGACTCCCTTCTTTTGATATACTAGTATTCTGGGTCTTTCAGGATAGAAGAGAATGGGAAGTGTGTGTGTGGGCTTGGGCTGGGATATGGGGGGCAGTGCAGGAGACTGGGTGAGGGGAGATGCCTGAGTGAGGGTTGGGGGTGAAGAGGGGTTCACGGTAGGGGGAAAAGGAGTTTGGAGCAGGGGGCTACTTATCCAGCATTCTGGCAGGCAAAATGGTGTTGACCCAGCCCTGTTGGCCACTTTCTTGGTGGTACAGCTGCTCCCAGTGGACACTCTTAGTATCACGTCCCCCCAAACAGCAGCCCCACCCTTTGCATGTTATGGAAAACGGTCCTTTTCTCAGGGCTCCCAGTTGTCTTGCCATCTTACTTTAAATTAAGAGAAGAGGAAGCTGCATACCAAATTTGATAGCCTAGCTCTTAGCTGTATCCCTGAATGGCATAAATATCACCAATCCAACAAACATAGCAGACAGTGCTATGATGGCAGGAGAGCTTCTCCCATCTTCATAGTTACTGTTTCTCATGGGGTGGATTTAGTATGCCAATGAGAGAGCTTTCTCCCAACATCATGGAGCATCTTCAGCAGCTGCACTGCATCAATGCAGCTGCACCCTTGCAGTGCTTCTAATGTAGACTCACCCTGAATCACTATCAGCTCCTCTTATTGTGGAAGAATTTCAGTGATTGTTCAGTCCACAGACACACACACAGGGGTAGTTTTACCTTTGTAAGCTTTCCTCAACAAAACCTGACACCCTATGAATCTAACAGGGTTAAATGAAACTTGGTCTCAAAAAACAGATGCCTCTCCAGAAACCGTTTTGCGGCTTCATTCTGATTTTATAACAAAACTTGTGTCAGCTGGCCATATGTCCGATCTCCTCAACCCAACAAAAAGCTCTAAATGTCCTTATCTGCCAATAAGCTGATGCCAGCCAGCTTTGCACAGCTTTCCTTTTGATTGTTTCTCACCCCCATCACCAGCACTACCTTCCACTCAGTGCTGCCATTTTTTACATAGATTGTCTGAACTATTGGACATTCTCAGATATCACAGAGCATTCACAGGACTGGCTTCTTAGTCCAATGGAAATCTTTACTTAATCTGGACTCACAAAATATTAGTGCCTCTCACAACCAAACACATCCGGAAACTAGTTCAATCCATTTCTATTCAAAGGAGAGGAAAAGTGTCCTCAATGAGCAGATTATAGGCTTGGTTAATATTACACTTTATCATGTGCAAAGACATGCAAATATTTAAATTCATAAGTCTCCACAATACAGCTGCACAAGTTGCCAGAGAGATACATCAATTGGTGAGATGAGATAAGCAGAAACATATGAATAAGTATTGTGCAAACTCAGACTGGTGAGAGAAGAAAGAAGAAAGAGAGCAAAAGCAATACAAAGACACTTCTCAACATTATCAAGAAACTCACCCAACCCCCCTGTTTCTTATTACAATGGCATCAGGGGAGGAGATGACAAAGTGCTAATGGAATGAGGAGACATATCACAAACCTCGGAAAGCTAGGGCAGGGATATACATTATAGTCAGGTTATTGTGACAGTTTATATGAGACACCAAGGTATGTGCCAGACTTTATCAAGAGAACAGCAATCATTCAAATTGGCATAGATGGAGAACCTCTTCTTTCTCGCTCTCTTTTTTTTTCAGGCACCTATTACAAGCACACATTGTCTCACACACAAGTCACATTAAATAAAGGCAATAGTAAAGCTGAAGTTTACCTGATTGGTGGCTCTGAAATGTAAAATATGTTGGTAAGAGAGAAAGAGAGAGAGAGAAAGAGAGATACAGTTCATGATGCTATGCAAAAAGTAGACCTGAAGAGACCACAAACAATGTTATCCACTTTACAGATGAATAAAGTGTCACTATAGGCCTTGACCCATACACAATGCAATTGATTTTCTTTGGTATATTAATAAAATCAATGCATGCAAGTGATTCATAAGTCTATACTTAACAATACAAGCAAACAATACAGGAGGTGAGTAACATCTGTTGAAAGGGAGGTAGAGGATGTAATACCAATGAGGACAAATAAGCACCAGGAAACAGTGAAGATGAAGGAATAAGATTTGATTGTTTTAGGGTCTGGCTACATTGGGGAAATTTTCTAAGTAGTTTAAAAAGTATTTTGAGTTATACTTTAGATCAAGGCTTTAGGCATCTTGACTCAGGTTAAACAGAAAGAAGTTGATCAGGCTGCCTTAGAGCAGGGCCATGCTATGATGCTAATCATGTTTTCATTTTAAAACTGGCTAGAAAGTGTTGCTAGTGTAGATCGGGTCTTTAGAGCCACATGGTTAGGGGAGGCATGGAGGAATAGATCATGGCAGATTTTCCAATGTTTTTGCTTCCAGTTTTATAGAACACTAACAGACCATTTTGACCCATTTATTTTTCCGAGCATAAAAGGAATTCTTTAAAGACACCTGATTGAAAGGTAATACAAAAAAACTGGTGTGCTTGAGTACTGAGTACCAGAATCTGCACAAAATTATATAATTTCGGGGTGAATGAGTATATACTGAAATTCCATTTCAAAGACTTGACTGGGACCATTCAGCCTTACATTTTCTGATGCAAAAAAACCCTCAAAACTGCCAATTTAAAATTAATCATGGGTATGATATGCTTGTCACCAGATGTTAATAAAACCTTTCCAAACACAGACATGAAGTGGCCAGATTTTCAAATTTTCAGTGCATGAGTTTTAATTTAAGCATGTGGCTTTTATTTTCTCCGGTGAGTTGCAGTCTCTAAACATCTTGTTGCATTGGCATTGTTGTCATCATTGTGCATTCAGTCAGAGCCTTCTAGCAAGTTTAATTAGCCTGTAATATTTCCAGAACAGATGTAAGGATTCAAAAATCCTCAGCAAAGCATGGATTTTAGCTTTCTGAATATAAAGACTGAACTTCAAAACCCTTTATGGTGAGGGTCATAGCATGGTTATATGCTCAATAGCCTCCACAGAGCTCAAGAGCACAGATAACATGCAACATTAAGAAATCCTGCCAATGGAGAGCAAGATTCAACACTGCAGGATAGCTCAGTGTTCTATGAAGCACTCTTCCAGCAGGCAGCTGTCACTTCTGGTCACAGACGTGCCTTCAGTTGATGCTGAATGAAGCATCTCTAGCCAGATTGTGTGCTAGCACCTTTTGAAGTGCAGGTTTCCTCAAGCTGAAGTCCATGACAACAGGAGTACTCTATGAACCACAGATGTATTCTGGGTGCCTGTCAAATCCCACTGAAACACTCTTGCACTTCATTTTGTGGCTAAGTTTTAATTTTTAGGCTGCTGCCAACCTCAGGAAATCACCCTGGGCAATTGCTCATGTGTTAGTTAAGATGCCAGCCAAAATGAAAAAGGGTAGAATCTGAAAAGAGTCTTTAACATCACTGAAATGACGGTTTCAGAAACCTGTGTGTAAAAATTCAGAATTAAAGTAACGAATACTGAAAATCAGCCTGATTCCTCTCAGGTACATGAGTATTACACTGGTGTAGTTTTGTTTAGTTCAAGGAAGTTACTTCTAATTTATTTCA